TTTCTCAAGTTTCAGGCACTGGACGTTTTAATTTAGGAGATGTGTAATTTATCGAACACCAAGCATTGTGTTTGAAAAATTTCACAACCTTGAGTATTTAATCTCAGTTTTCCAAACTTCGGTGTGGAACACTCACAGTTGCAATTTATATTCAATAAGCTCTTATCAGATGAAGTTTTTGTCCAAACATTATTTTTCAGATAAAACTACAAAATTCACTTTTTAGGCAATGTATTATACTTTCATAAGTTCCACGTTTTTCGTTCTGCGCAAATTTGAAAAACAAAAACAAAACAAAAGAAAAAGAGAAACGACAGATGGCAGATTTAATATACTGTATCCTCTTCATCTTTTTAGCAGCAGTCACACCGACGCATGAAAGGACAGCTTTAAATTGGAACTTTCTTAGTGTTAGTTTTGTCTTTGTGGCTTGTTAATTAAAAAACTGCACCTCTGACGTTTTCTATAATCGTTGTCGCCCAGCCACTCTTCCATAATTTTAGTCAATATGCTTAGTTGGTCGCTTTGCGTTTCTTCCGAAAAAAGCAGAACACCTTGAAAAACACGCGTGTGTTTTCGTTGCCTTTTATAAAATGTTCCGTTTTAGAATTGGAGGTGTTTGTTACATAGCTAAGACTGGTAATCGAAGTTAGGTCAACTGCTATTCATTATCTGAGGAAAAAGAATATCTATTTGTCAGTCGATGAGCCAGTCAACTGAATGACGGAAATTTGTGATAGGTAAGAAAAGGTTCCTTGACCGCCCACCGGCTTTTTACTCTCGTTCTTTACCATTTTCCAACGACTTCTCCAACATGGTTAATGGAGGGGATTGGTAACGAAGCCCAGCAAAGTTCAAAGAAAAACACAAAGGTGCCGAGACCTACTTTGGAAGGTCCACGACCGTCCACACTATTTTTTTTTTTTTTTTCGCGCTCATACCCTCGTGAATTTCGTATAACCGGAACATTTCTATTGGTCAGATCCTCAGTCAATAATAAACAAGAATTATATTCTGTACACTCTAAAGGCCACAAAAGCGAATAAAAACATATCCCAACAAACAAAGACCCCATACATATATGTATTATACTTTGATCAGATAGATCGAAAGATAGATCGAAACTTTCCGAAGTCCATCGAATACTTTCGAAAGTGCAGATACGAGAGAGACTTTCGAAGATTTCCGATAGTCTCCCAAAGATTGTGGAAGAGCACCCGATGTTATGATGGCAAAAGTTCTACGTCTCTGTCGTGTATTCGTTTCGTTCCTAAATCTACGTCAATTTTTAAATTCAAATATTACTAAAGTTTTAAAGAGGTTTGTTTAATTTCATTTCAGCCCTGACCGGAATTTATGCTAAATAAAAGACTGCCGAGTTTCCCTTGTAAATAAAATGATTAAAAACATAATTTGCAAATGTGTTCTAATTACTTGTTTTCCCGGTTTTTACATTATTTGGTCGTCTGAATTCATTACTAAAGAATAAACACGTGATCAGTGATTGCAAAAAGAAGACCTAAGAAAAAATTAACGTGGAAAAGTTCGGTAGTTTGATAATTTTATCGTCATAAAGCTAAATGGCCAGTCAGCCGATATCTTTTCACTAATATTCACTACATAATATTCACTACATAAAAGCAATTCCCCAAGGCTGCATCCAGATGTTTGTTTTATCCTCCTTTTGTCAAAAGGGTTAATGGTTTTGCTACACTAGTATTTTCTTTTAAAAGACCGCCTAAAATTGCTCATCACAAGCTGTGTAAACGTTGCATGAAAATACACATCAGTCCAGTTTCTGTTAATTAAATATCTCGACACGGGCTATACAGGGAGGGGAAATTAAAGTAAAAACAAAGATTAATAATCCATTTTTAATAGACCACAATCATTTTTAATCGACCACAATCCATTACTAGAAATATTATAAGGCCTCGCTGATACAAGAGACAGACCGGCTAGCTTCTGCGGCAATTACATTTGTTCAAAATTACGTTTATCGATTTTGCCGTAAAATTTCTAGTTGTTATACAGCGATAAAATTAAAAAAAAAAATCGCGCGGCCATATTTGTATGTATCAGTACAGTATTCTATCTCGTGTTATTAAAAACTGGATCATTAGATAATGCAATTCATTGGCTTAGCCATCATGGTATATGAGCCATTATACCATGCTCTACAAATATGGAAACTGCACCCGTAATTTTTGGGGGCGTTTTTATTTTTATTTTAGTTTAGTTTTCTGTATTTTGGGGGCATTTTTTATTTAACAATTAGACCCGTAGCCCTTGCAGGCTACGGGTCAATAGCCAATGAGGCGAAGCCAAATGGGCTTTTGACCGGTGGCCCTTGAGGGCGAAGGGTCTAATTGTTTTAGTATCACCCAACTAGTCGGACAGAAAAGGCAATAATTAAGTTAGCAAATGCAAGTTGAAGAAATATTTATTTGGGAATAAAACGAAAGAAAGCGCTTGTTGGATATGAGATTATAGCCAACTCATATCAACGCACGTTCGTGGAGTGATTGTTAAATAATGGCCTGAAGAAGGCCAGTCAGTAATCATGCGTTGCAGGTTAGGGAGTAGGGCCACTTCTTACTAATGTTAGAGGCGAGTTAATAAGCAGATCTTGACTGATTTACGACAAGAGAAGACGGTAAGAGAGTTATTAATCCCTAAAGAGGGCTTATTCACAACATAACCTCTCTCTCACGTTGTCTTTGTTGTTGGATCACTCCCGGTTTTGGAAATCCCAGGACGGTCTAGATATAGCCAATCAAATGACGCGGATTTTTCTCGCAAAAAAAGCCCAGGCGGCTTTACAAACGCGTTTGCAATCTCCACAAACACATTCTTGCAACGCGCGTGCTAACATTACCCGCGGAAGGACTGGGTACTATATCTAAAAATCACACGGGAGAGATAACCTTGTGTAAAAGGCCTATTCTCATTTAGTTTGCAGCTACAGTTCTGTGGGACAGTGGAGTGGCATTTGGTCGATCACTGACCAATTAAAAATTTGTAAACATAAGATTACAGGACGAGGTTGTAAAACGTAAAACTATGGTTCTGACAGAGAATCTTTCTGAGACGAGGTCGAAGGATACGTGATCAAATATGGCGATTTAAATGAAATCAAACCTAACATTAAGTCTTCCAAGATACCAGTCATCAAGCGTTTGTTTAGAAACAAGAAAAAAAAACCGAAAACCACCGCTAACAAAATGAGTATCAGATGTAAAGAAATTGCATTACGCGTTACTACTAGACTAAGGGAACGTTCATTTTTTATAAGGTAGGGGGGGCTGGTGGGATTTGGGGGGGGG